GCGGGGCGGGGGACGGGGCGGCGGGGCCGCTGCCGGCGCTGCGCTCGGTGCTGCCCTTAACGCCGCGCTCCAGAACCTCATCTTCCGCTACCTGCAAAACGTGAGTGCCGGGAGGCCCCGGGGAGCGCGAGGGGGCTCTGGGGGAGCGAGGGGGGTCCGGGAAGGGTGGAGGGACCCCAGGAGGGCGAGGGGAGGATGAAGGGGCCCCAAGAGGGTGACGGGACCCCCGCGATGTGAGCGGAGGGGCTCGGGTGGGTGAGAGGACCTGGAGGGGACGAGGGGCACCCAGGAAGGACAAAGGGGACCCCTGGTAGAAACAAAGGGTCCCAGGGAGGGAGAGGGGGGCTTGGGGGTGGTGCAGGGACCCCAGAGGAGATGAGGGGACCCTGGGGAGGGTGAGGGGGCCCCAGAGTCGGAGAGGAGATTCCAGGCGGGACAAGGGATGAGGGGAGGATGAAGGGACCCTGGGGAGGGTGGGAGGGGCTTTGGGGAGGGCGAAGGGACCCCAGGGTGGGGGCCGCGGAGCAGCCGGGCACCCTGCCCTGGGGGTGTTTCCATTTCCACGCCGGGTGTTGAAGCTGATGTTCATTAGCTGTGAGTTTCTTGCAGCCCCAGAGCGGTTCCGAGCTGAGGGTTTCGTTCCCRTGTTTCGGATGATCCCCGCAGCGGGTCCGGCGTGGGCAGCACCTCTGTGTGTGTCCTAAAACACCCCCTGCTGCCCGTGTAGCATCAGCACCTCAAACAGGGGAAAAAMCACCCTTCCGAGGACAGAATTGAAGCAAAACCCGAGAATTTAGCCTTTAAAAAGTACAGAGCCACAGGGCCTGTTGATATTAGGGGTGCAGCCAAGTGCTGGGTGYCCGAGAGAGGAGCAAAGTTGCTCGGGATGTTTCTGTTCAGATTTTGCTCCCTTTTCCCATCGCTTCGCAGAGATCCAGGATCCAGGTGTGGCTCTAYGAGCAAGTGAACATGCGGATAGAAGGCTGCATCATTGTGAGTAGCAGGAGGAGCCCTGGCTCTTCTTTGTCCTTGTTTCTCCACATTCACAAATTCTGTTTCTTCCTGWCAAAGAAAGAACAGCAAATAAAAGAAAATACAGAGTGAAAATGCACTTTTCTCCATAACGAAGCCCCAATTTCCAGCCTGCGTCACCACAATTAACGATAATTAATATCACTGTTGCTGAAGCTGAGAGCAGGGAACTTTGTTCACCGACTGCTCTTTGTTTGTTTTTTTCAGGGCTTTGATGAATACATGAACTTGGTCCTGGACGACGCGGAGGAGATTCACTCCAAAACAAAATCGAGGAAACAGCTGGGTACGTCGGCATAATCTAAGTGATAAATGGTCCAAAATGGGTTAATTGACCTTTCCACCGTGTGATACCCTGCAGCGTCACCTGTCTGGGTGGGCTGTGCCCAGCCAGGCTGCTGATCCTGCACTGTGTCCRGTAGGGAGGAAACTTCCACGACCACGGTCTAAAGAGCCCCATGTCATTTACCASGTGGCATCTTCTTGCAGACATCTTTGTGGAATAGTATATGAAAACATGATTTTATCCGCACACCCTGGGGTCTTTCTAATCCCTCTCTTTCCTTTCTCTGTGTTGCAGGTCGGATCATGTTAAAAGGGGACAATATCACTCTCCTCCAAAGTGTTTCTAACTAGAGTTTGCTGGTTGCTGGTTTTTCCACTTAAAAACAAGAGTTACTGCGTGACAGAGGGGACACGATGTTAGGTTGTGGGAAGGTGACCTGCGGGTAGATAGGAAGCTGCATGTAGCTAAACATGCTGAGTTTAAAATGGCCTGTTTCTTTGTGGGATTATTAACATGCTGAGTTTAAAACGGCCTGTTTCTTTGTGGGATTATTAGGGTTTTTTTTTAACTTGGGAATGACAGAAGATGTATTTCACAAATAAACGTTTTTCACATTAACCGTTGATGGAAATCTGCTGGTTTTCAGTCTCATGTCCCTTTTGTGAGGTGAGGAGGGGGAGGGATGTGTTTGAAGTTCTTTTCACTGTGGATCTATGTGGTTTCTGGTCAAAAAAAAAATATCTGTGCGTTCTGGGCTGTTAAATCTGCATTGTGGTGACAAGATGGACTTGCTCAGAAGGGAACCTGGAGCCCCAGGCACTGCTTGAACTTGCCTGGTTCTAGTGAAGTCACTACATGTTTTTCCCACGAATATGGGAATTGGTTTGGATAAAATCTTAAATTCTGACTTCTTTGGCCAGGGTGCCCAGGTTAAGCCATGATTCTGTTAAGAGGATTGGCATATCAAATATATTGTTTGGGTTTTTTTATATATATCTTTCGTTATTTTCCTCTTGGTAAGTTTTTTTACTTGTTATCAGTCCCCTCTGCTGCTTTTCTGATYAAAAAGAGAAAAATTTCAGTTGCAATTTTAACTGTTAGTTTGAGGTAATTGAGTGGAGAGAAATTTATTTTGAAACACAGCACCTAAAGACATTTAACCAGCTTTCATATTTTCAAAACTTAAATTTATGCATCATTTTAATCATGAAAATAAGTTCCAGTTGGAAGAATCCTGCCTCACAGAATAGAAGTACAAGATACATGAGTCTTCTGGCAAAGATCRCCCAGCACATTTTCCCCATTCCAAGAAGGCAGGAATATTGTAGGAATCAGGAATATTGTAGCAGGTATTCCAGGTAAGAAATCCTYGAGAATCAACATGACGTAGTGGCCAAACTAAATTCAGCTGCAGAGTCTGCTAACGGAATCCGTTTTATTTTGGTATTTGCAAGTTTCAAAATCTTTAGAATATACTGTAAATATAAATCACCTACCAGTGTCATTTGGGAATAAAGTCATGAAACGTCACCAGGGAATAAAACAGTAACTGGGTCCCCTGCTTCACGTTTTATTCTTGGTTTTCCGGCTGAAGTTTTCAGGAAATAAGGAAGTTGTCTCAATAGTTGAGGTGTTACAATAATGGGTATTTCAGTTCAGTGCCTGAAAATTGTGTCTCTTTTTCTTGCTGTAAACAGATAATGATCTTGAGATTCCATGTCTAAAACTATGAAGTCTCTTTTTGAAGTAAAYMMYTTTTTTTTTCCAACTATACATGGGAAAATACCATACAGATTGGAGGGGAAGGAGCTTATTTAACAGGATCTCTTGTCATGGGATTGCTCAGGTTCAGGCAAGTTGCCTCAGGGAATCTCTCCTTCCGTTTTGTTCCTGGTTGCTCTTTGCCAGAAGTTGGGCATGGAGAGAAATAGCCTGTTCTTATCAGCACTGCTCCCAGCAGCTCCAGATGATGCACTTGGAGATCCTTTAGTGCCTCCTAGAGCTCCTCYGCTCTTGGATATTATTGAATTATGAATGTTGATACTGGAGTAGGTTGATGACGGGAGGAAGGAAGTCCGGCCTAATCAGCCCWGAAGCATCTCGTGATAAGGCACCAAAATAGGCAGTAATTGTGTGTGTGGCGAGGGGGGAGTCGCGGAGGAAAATGAGACCTGGAAAACRGCAGAGAGGCTGCGGGGAGCCCGAGCGGAGGGGACATCCATGGGGAAAGGCAGCCTGGCAAAGGGCCGCTGAATCCCGGGGACGGAGCTGCTGCTGTTCCCAGCACAAACCGGACTCACAAACAACCCCGGCTCCCCCTCTGCCCTCGTCAAGCCCCGGGACTGACTCATCTGAGCGCTCGCTGTTTGGTTTCTCCTTTTTAACCCCAAATCTTTTCAGCTTCCTGAGCGTTTGCGAGCTGCCGGCAGCCAGGAGGGACCGTCCCGTGAGCGCCCGTGCGGTGGTGGCTGCAAAAGAAGGTGCCAGACGGAAGAGGGTGCTGCGGCCCCAGCGAGCCGTCCCCTGCCCTGCAGCCAAGTGTCACAAGCCTTGCAGGAACACCGAGYCCCCCGGCATTCAAGCAGCTTTAGTGGCTCCCGAAGAACCTGGGAAAAAAAGGGAAAACTGGGCTGCCCAGAGCGGGGCTGCTCTGTGTCGGCGCCGCGGCCGGACACCGCGCCCGTGTCTCCTTGGTGGCTTCCCCGACTGCTCCGTAACCGGAGCCCAGCCACGTTCCTGCTCCCGGGAAGGATGAGGAGTCGCAGGGTCTGGATTTGACCGAGCAGGTGAGGAAGAGGAAGGTAGAGTGACCGCTTCCAAATGGGCTCTGTTCTGCTTTGCTCAGCGGAGCCTCTTGCGTTTGAGCTGTGCTTTTCCAGAGCCTGCACATTCCTTGCCCTGGAGTGCAGGGGGTGGGATTCGGGGATAGCGGCGAGGAGGAGGGGGCTGGGGAGGAAGGCTCCTTTTGAAGGAGATGCCCCGAGGTGGCATGACCGCAGCGGGATGTCACAGCGTGTCACCGTGTGGATGCCCCACAGCAGCACTCACCCGGCTCCAGGAAAGCTGGAGTTTGCCAGGAGTGGAGTTTTTTGGAGTTTTCCTGCTGCTAGCAGCCCTCGGATGTTACAGGTGAAAATCAAGGGCAGTTTTAGCTAGAATGAATTTTGTAGCGATAGAACTTGTAGTTGTCTCTTAAAAAGCAAACGTTTGCAGGCTCTTGGTGCACTAAAAGTGGCACTTGCATAAGGCAGAGGTCCCCACCAGGCGGCATTTCAGCCCCAGACCATTGCACTGGTCATGGCAGGGAAATGACAGCCCCCTCAGGCCAAAGCGGGGCCAGTGCAGCCTCTCTTTGGACCTTCTGGTAAAGGTGAAGGCGAAACGAGATCCTGCAAGGTGCTTTGGCTGCAAATGTGTCCCCTTGGCCGGCTTGGGAGGCAGAGTGCTCCCGTCCCTCCCGATGGGAGAGTCTCCATCCTTCTTTGGTAGGCTGCTGTGGATTTATTTGCACATTAATTCTCTATATGCTTGAAACAGCAGCCCGCCAGGTCCCCGTGGGGGCTTTTTGGTGCTTTTTGGTGCTTTTGGCCCTTGAAAGCTGTTGCTGCCGTTGTGCTCGCCCGCCTCAGGAGCCGCTGCCGCAGGGGGATTTGGCACCGGCGGGGGGCACGGGCGCCCCGAGCAGCCCCCGGTCGCTTGCTCAGCTTGGGCCAGCGTCAGCGTTTGCTGCAGTTTCCGACCCGTAACCTTTCAGAGCGGCGGGGAAATCGGTCGATGACGAGAGGAGCTTCGTTAGCCGGGAGGCTGTGGGAGGGGGACGTCACTTTTCCCGCCGCGGTGCCCTGCGACCTCCACGAGTCCGTGGAGCCTCCCCGGAGGCTGCGCCGCCTCCCGCTTGGTGCCTCTTCCCTGGGAATTATTGCAAGGGCTGCAGCGTTTTGTGCCTAAAAATAACGGTACCGGGAGCAACAACGGAGAAAGATCAAGGAATCCAACAGCCCAGTTGTTGTCTCCTTAGGGCAGCGTCCGAAGAGAGGCAGGAGCTCCCAGAGCCTTAAATCGGGGTGTAACGGTGCTTCCCAAACTCCCGCTCCTCCTTCCTGTCCCTGGAGCGGCTTGGAGTAATTCGGGACTGTTTTCCCTCTTATTTCTCCCTGTTTCAGCCTGGACAAGGGGCCGAAGCCGAGGCGGGTGCCCTCCCAAAGCAGATGCCTGGGGCCAGCAGCGTGGCCRGCCAGCCGTTCCGCTCCGCAGCCACAAGGCTCCGCTCGGACAAAGCGCCTCCAAACCGGCTCCAGCAGCTTCCCCTGGTGCCAGTGCCCTCCCTTGGCAGCCCACACACAAGGTGCCCAGCACGGCCCCTAGCCACCCCCCACCGCCACCGCGCGGGGCCTTTTCCCATTCATACCCCCACCGGGGGCATCGTTCCCATTGTTCGCAGCATCTCTCGGAAAAAGGAGCGCCGGGCAGGGTGCCCGCGCGCGCAGCGGGAAGCGCTGCCGCGTTAGCAGCAGCAGCAGCGCTGCCTTCCCCCCTGCACGGCCCCGCGTTCCCGCCGGCACGGCCGCTCGCTCCGCTCCCCGCGGAAACCTCCTTCCTTCCCCACGCGCAAAATCCCGGCCGTTGGGATCGGATAATGGGAGGAGCGGAGCAAATCCCGCTCCGAGACCCGCTTCTCTGGGGCTCTCTGTGCCTGAAGCGCTGGAATCCAGGTTTCCCGAGGCTGGAATAGCGAAGTTGAAGCTCCCCGTGCCCGGTTTGGCGACGGCTCCTGGCCCAGGGCAGCCCTGACGGAGYCACCGGCGCATCCGGGCCTGGCCGGCACCGGTGCCGGCTGCTCCAAGGGGGATTTTGATGTGCAGCAGTGACCCTACTGCTCAGCATTTGGGCTATGGAAATAGCAAGGGAAAGCCAGCTGAGAGCCGTAATTTGGGGCAGTTTCTTCGATTCACTTGTAAATGTTTATTAGGAAGCGTTTGACCCCCAGGACACGTGGTGCTGTGTCAGGTTTGGCCTGGCTCCCTGGAAAAGACCAATGGTTTGGGCTTTTTGGGTTTTCAGGAGCACTTGCCCTGCTGTAAGGGCCGGGGTTGGAGCTTTTCTGCAGATCCAGCACCGATTCTGGCTGCTGCTTTTTGGAATTTTCCCTTATCTGCTCCTCTCCAGAGCGTCCTGCCTGCAAAATAGGCACGATATCTGATAGGTGCCCGAGGTGGGTAAGAGCTGATGGAGTGAAGTGATGTCCCCAGCTGCGTGGAACCGCTCTGAGCACCGACCTGCTGGCTCTCCGGCTCTCCTGCTGCCAGGCAATCTGCTCTGGAATAAAGCTGAGTTTTCCAGGGATGCTTTTCTCCTTCCCTGTGCTCCCCGTCGGACGGGGTGCTTGCAGCAGAACCGCGGTGGCTCTTCAGCGGTTTTGCCTCGTAGTTGAGCTACATGGGGGTCCCTCCATCAGGGGGGATCTTGCAGCTTGTAGATTAGGGTGGTATTTAAAAGAAAAGGGAAAATTTGACCAGTTACCAGAGCCAGGGCATGCGCTGTCACCCGAGCGGGAGCCAGACAAGCACCCGGAGCGGAACAGAAGCACCAGGCACCCCCCTGCACAGCCCAGGTGTGTTGGTGA